GCACTTGGCATCTGGCAGGTGCAATGCATTCAGGTGCAGGGACAGGTACTTCAAGTCTCAACAGCGGGGCCCATCCTTGGCCACAACCCTGCGATCCCAAGTCCGAAGACCCTAAACCCTAAACGCTAGGGTTTAGGGGATACATCCGTCTGAGTTTCGGGGTTTGGGATGGTGAGGGATTGGAGCCTTGGAAGCCCTAAACCCTAAAAAAAACCCTGAAGCCCTAGAGCCCTAAAGCCCGAAAACCCTAAAACCCCAGACCTCTGAAGCCCGAACACCCTAGAAACCCCAGAAACCCTAAAAGCCCTAAAAGCTCCAAAACCCTCCAACCCCAAAAAAAGAAACCCAAGCCTCAAGTAAGCGCGACCCCGCCGTCGAACCTCACCATCCTCGTCGTCGCTCAGGTCGGGGCTCCACTTCAACTGAGCCATGGCTTAGGGTTTAGGGCAATCACGGATAATCATAGTCGTAATAGTAGTAATAGTAATAATAATCATAATCAAAAGAGGCCATAGCAATATTAACAATAGTTATGATCGCAACGGCAGAAAAAACTAAAAAGAAGATTAGTAATAGTTATAAGAATAATAATGATAAGAATAACAAGAATACAGCGCTAAAGTCCTGGAAAAAAGCGCGCTCCCAGGGTCCCCCGTTGTTGAAAAATTAATCTAGTAACTTAGGAATTTATCAATCGTCATACTAATGCTACACCCTTGGCTGCTTCTCACTCCGAGTACCCAATGAGCCTAACATCACTCCATGTAGAAAATTTGGGATTTGGGGTTTGGGGAATAAGGTTTAGGGGTTTAGGGGGCGGCTTACGTTGTATGGTTTGCCGCGGCTCCTTCAAGGAGCATTGGGCTCCTAGTGGGCTGGGAGGGCGCATACACTTAGGGCCTGGGGATATGTAGCCCGTCCACGAGACTGAGTGAACCAAACCTGCGACCGCTTCAAGTTCCTGCTTCATAGGCAAAGAAGTCCAAGCTGACTAAACTGTTGGCTCAAAGTGCCGCAGTTATGCTGCCGTCTTAGGGCCCCAGAAGCCTGTAACCACAGAACCTTGCCCGAGGCCGGTTCCGTGCGAATCCCAAGCTTGCGCTGAGCCTTGGGAATGAAGCAGCACAGGGTATGCCAGGTTATGTGTTTTTTTTGAGGGCCTTTTTCCGTCTGCTAGGTTCTAGCTCGAGAATCTGCACAGCAGAAAGCACACCAGTTTATGGCTTAGGGTTCAGGGCTTAGGGTTTGAGGTTTCGGGTCAAAAGCATGGTGTACACACCTGGTTAGCAAACCAGGCTTCTTCAAGGACACTGGCTGGACAAATGAAGGAAAACATGCCATTATCCGTATCAGCTGAAGCGATCTTATTACAGGTGGCAGCCAGAAGATCAAACTGTCGCAAGCAAGTTAGCGGCACCGGCTCCATCTACCAGTACGAGCTTCCATGGTTTAGCAGACCAAACGTGAGCAGTCTCAGTAGCAGATAGTAGCAGCGTATGCATCAGCATTGGCTCAGATACCCTGTAGGATCAGCAAAAGTGGTGGAGCAAGGAGCAACAAGCCTCGGAGGAGCAGGACCGAAATAGGGACCTGAACAGGGTTTGGGGCGTGTAGAACAACTGCTATGTCAGGACCAGGAGCGGAGTCTCACAGGAAAGAGCTAGCAGCTAGCAACAATTACACAGACACAGACAGACTTAAAGTCGTACAGTCTACGTACAGCAGTGGTACTTCGTTGCTGTGCATATTAAACCCTAAACCCTAAACTGACCCTGTGCCCCTGGCGCTTGACTTCCAGGTCCTCCGCCGGTTGTCTTTGGCCTGGGCAACACACTCTAAACCCTAATACAAGAATAACAATAACCATAATGATGATAATAATAATAACACTAACAATAACAATAATAGTTGATAATAACAATAATAATAATAAGAATAATAATCTGAACCAATCCTCAGCGGATCGCTGCACCCCGCACGCAGCCGTTGTGGCACCCCGGTGTCCTGACAACTAAGCTAAAAACATCACACAAAACATGAGCATCATTATTAAGAAGCGGGGCTGGTGAACATCCGTGACTGTGGCCTGGAAACCTTAGCCTGTACTTCTCTAACCCCTGTTGCCGGATGGGCTTTTCACATGGTTCAGCCCAGCGCCAGCCGCAGCAACGGACTACATAAGATTTCGAGAGCTCTCCTCAAGCAACCTGCTCTAATAGACAGCCGCTTTCTTTATGCTTCCAAATGGCATACTCTGTTGGGTACCCGTTGGGTACCCAACAATGCTGCAGTGTAGGGAACCCCCGAATGGAGAGTGAGACTTGCACCCCAACAGCAACTTGAACGCAAGACTCGGGCTGAGCTGAGTCGTGACGAACCTAGAGACTACAAGCACACGCCTGGAATCTGGAGCTGCGAAAATCTGGAGCACCGAAACCCCCAAAAAAGAGGCTCCCACACGCATTGTGTTGAACACCTGGCAAGGGTAAGGCAGCACATCTAGCCATCATGTTGATCTAATCCACTGAAGGTCTTTGCGGTCGCAGTGTTTAGAGAATCGCTTCAAGGTGTCTTCTAAGCAAGCAGGCTTTCAAGACGGGGCTGTATGCCACAAGGTACAGTCCAACCATACCCTGCATTGCATGAAGAAGCTCCAATCATGTGGCCATCTGATTTGCCTGTTCAAGTATCCCAGTGGTGCCCTCCGAGAGATGGCCGGATGAACGCCGCCATCATGCCTTCATGGACATAGGGAGACTTACCTGGAGCTCCTCGTTCGGAAGCCTTCTCTGCCGTGTGCCGTGCAAAGCCGAGCTAGAGCTTGTTATCTCTCTATTCTTCTTTAGTCTTTGCGACGTACCCGAAGCCGGACCCGAAACCAGAACACGAAACCTCTGCGCAGAAATGCCACGCACCTAGCGAAAGTCCATGTCGACGAGTTCCGGCCAGTAAGCTCTAAACTCCAAACTCTAAATCTAGTGCGATGGAAATGTACATGTCGTTGTCCCTGAAAGTGACAGTGAAAGTCCCCTCAGTTCTCGCACGACTGGTCGTGAACAACCACCAAGCCATCATGTTACTATGAGACTATGATGTATGGACATGAGCATGTTTAGATTACATATATACCATTGCAAGAAATCCGATGCAAGATCGGCACATGCAGGAAATGGAACATGCACGAACCTGTACTCCACAGACCGTGCCATACATAAAGATAGGCATGTAGCCAGATAGCTAGATAGATAGCGGGAAGGTAGGTGTACGGGCAAATGGGTAGATTGTTAGATGGACGGATAGACTAGCCAGGTAGTTAGCTAGTTGGTTAGCTAGCTAGCTAGCTAGCCAGCTAGCTAGTTCGTTAGATAGTTCGTTCGTTCGTTCCTTCGCTCGTTGGTTTAGTTAGCTAGATAGCCAGCTAGCTAGCCAGTTAGTTTAGTGAGTTAGATTTAGTTATATAGGTACATATCTACGTACCCATGTGTACTGAGTTTGTAGTCTGCTCACTCGTCGGTAGAGCAATCATATGCATCCCCATTGAAATTCTACATTGCTGCTTCTCTTTGTTGGGAAAGAATCATCTTTCGCCTCAGCGCACCCTTGCATAAAGCGTGGCGATGCCGGCCGACAGGAGCTGCGACTTCGAGTAGGTAGTGCTGTGCATCTCAACCTGAGATTGTCGGCGTCGCAGCGTGTGAAGATTGCTTGGTGCTGTATTTAGGGGTTTAGGGGTGTAGGGAGGGTTTAGTAGGCTATGATTTTACAGCCCTGGCTGACTGCAGCAGACCCTTCTGCTTCAGCTATGTGAGAGCCAGCGCCTGACAATTCCACTCGTCTGCCCTGGGGCTGGGCTCTGCACCGGCTGCGCAAGTCACAAATAGAATTCCTAAAACCCTAAACCCTAAACCCGGGTTATGGGCCCTTCGGTTGAAACTTAGGGTCCAGGGCCCCCGTGTTTCAGAAGCAGCAGAGAGCTTCAAAGGTTTACATCCCGAGGCCGCCGCCCAGGTATCTTGGACTCCTGGCTTTGACCCAGTGTGGGGAAACAGCTCGAGGATAGTACTTTTAGGTTTGGGGTTTAGGGTTCAGGGTTTTGGTTTAGGGTTTGGGGTTTGGGGTTTGGGGTTTGGGGTTTAGGGTTTAGGGGTTTGGGTTTGGGGTTTAGGGTTTATAGGGTTTAGGGTTTAGGGTTTACTACCACCACCACTACTAGCAGCAGCAGCTGCTGCTGCGAACTACTGCTACCACCACTGATAGGCCGGCTGCTATGATTGTCACCGCCACTGCAGCACCACAATTGTACTTCTTCCCTTGGCACCACCGAAACGATTCCCACAGTTGCAGCCGAGTTTCTGCCCCAATGGTGCTCGTGCTTTCAGGTTTAGGGCTGCTCCTGCTCCTCTACCTACTAGCTGCTACTGCTGCGATCGATCTTCCAACAGTTGGAATACGAACGAGCGGTCTTCTTTCCACACTCAGGAGCCGCAGGAGACCGAGTAGCAATCATGTCTGATCGCTGTACCAAAAGACCTCCACCGCAACTGTCAAAGCTACCTGTCCAATAGTATCACTCCCCTAGCAGCAATAGGGTTTTAGGGTTTAGGATTTAGGGCTTAGGGAACATAACTATCAACAAAACATTCTGCCCACATCTGTCCTTGAGCTTTCATAGCGGCCGTGACCTGCAAAGCATGGGCCATTCCAGAAGTTGACTCCTATGTCGGGTCAGAGGTTCCTGTTGGGTTAGGGCTTAGGGTGTTGAAAGTCTTGGTAACGATGCCTTGCCTGCGGAAAGCCCACAATAGCAATGAGCAAGCATGAAGCTCAGAACGAAACCCATGCAAGCCATGTAATCCTAAACCCTAAACCCCTAAACCCTAAACCCTAAACCCTAAACCCTAAACCCTTAAACCCTAAACCCCTAAACCCGAAACCCTACATCCTAAACCCTAAACCCCTAAACGGCCTTTGCACATCAGACCAAACTTCCCCTACAGAGCCTCATCGGTCACGGGGAGAATGTCACGGGCACGTCCGCGCCCTGTGAACAAAAGGGGAAAAGGCATGGGCTTTGATATAAAAAAAGCGGCCCTCATAATAAGGAAAATATGGGCGCCCTAATAATAAGAAAAACATGGGCCGCCCTAACAATAAGGAAACTGTGGGGGCCCTCGTAAAAAGGAACCCTGAGGAATCATATTGGAAATTAACAATTAGGCCCTCACATGAAATTATGTCTTCGGGATGCAGGCTGAGGGTTTTTTGGTCTGGGCTGGGAGTTCCAAGCGGACGGTGCCATGCACCGCAGCACCTGCGAGGTGGTAGAATCAGACTAACCTCCTCAGCATACCTCGGCCGATATCTACATCCCAAGCAGTGGAAACCCCTAAACCCTAAACTCTTAAACCCTAAAGTGCCTAAACCCTTAAACCCTGAACCCCTCAACCCGGACCTCAAACCCAAACGAGCCCCTACTCTACTTGAAGCGGGCATGCCCCAAGCCATGGCCCTTCCCGAAAAAGGCGCCTGACAAGAAATCGATCTCGGTCTGGAAGCTCACGCCTGGGGTGAGCTACGATGTGCCTTCCTTGAACTCCGTTTTCTCTTCCCCGTGTATAGAGACTGATTAGAAACCGAGCTGTTGCACCTTTGAGACTCTAGGGTTGAGGAGCTTCGGGGCCTCAAAGCTTGAGCGACATCAGCACAACCTCTTCCAACTCTGATGACAGCATGACGAAAGAGCTATCACCGAAGCCATTGCTCCAGAGCCCAGACAGCCAGTGAGTGCCTAAACTAAACTTTAGCAACTACACCCTGCATGCACGTGCAAAGCATCTCCAAATCTCAAACTCTCCAAACAAACATCTCCAAGCTTCACCTGAGGTGCCGACGCGAACCCACTTGTAGAGCTCCGGCTGCACTGCTCCCATGCCTACAGAAGGGAAGCCGGGCTTGACAAGACCAAGAACCCCTAATGGTTTCGTGTATTCGCGGGATTCTGAGGTCTGGCGCTCCGCAAACGAAGGGCTTGTTACGCTGATCCAAGAGGCAATGGATCCCGGACGAAAGCTCATTCCGACATTACAGCTGATCCGATCTCCTTGCCTCATGTCCGAGAAGTGTAAGAAGATGTCACCGAAGCACGCCACCTCGGTTTCTAGGCGCATGACTCTGCTTCCTCCACAACAGTGCTGTCTTGCTTGGGAGAGCCTTTTCAGAGTCTCATCTCGGCTTCTGGTATCAGGCTGAGGGATTCCTTGAGCGGGAAGGCGCTTCACTACTGGAGCCACCGATGTACGCGAAGAGCCAGAGGTCTGCTCCGAGGTTCCTGCTTGGTCTACTTACCGTCTTGCCCCAGAATTAGCAAGACCGACTACGAAACGGGGCCAAATCGAGCATATGCACGTGCTGTGTAGGAATGCTGGGGAGGGTGTAACGACAATACGTCTGACAAGCGTCTTGATTTCGTAATGACGGCTAAACAACTGTACCCTCAACACTACACCCTAAACCCCTAAACCCTAAACCCTAAACCCCAAGCCCAAAAATGCCCGGCGCCGTGACCACAATGATTCCGGTGGTCGCCACAGACGAGAGCCGGGCGTATTCATCGGCCTCGACGAAGCCGAAGCCTTTGCCTCAGGTTTAGGGTTTAAGGTTTAGGGTTACACCAGTACTACTCACAACTATAACAACAGCAATAAGCATGTGCTAGCCGAGCCATCCATACTGCCATCCTATGCATGAATATAACAAAGTACTGCCTTGCATGCTAGTTATCTCATTCTTGACTAATCAGGTCTTTCTATGCTTGCCGCTTTTGGAACTAATGCTGAGTGACTATTTGGTTCTACAAATTGTCTTGTAATGTCTCGTAAATTGCTGCTGTTGTCAAGGACCCAGATTACCATTACTATTCTGCTCATCATTGCTTGTGCTGCACTACCGACTCTTGGCAGCAGTAGCAACGGGGCAAGTGTAGCAAGGCTTGCATGGTCATGACTACTGCTGTAATATCAAGTACCGACACCTAAACTGGACCTAAACTAATCAACATTCTTCTGCAAAAAATGTTTGCAGCAACATTCTGCTTCACATCTCACTGCTGGGCCTCTGAAACCTAGATCCTTCCAGCCAGCGGGTTCTACACCCTGGGAACCCCCTGTCCCTGCTGTCAATCCTGCAACCAGGCCACACCCAAACCGGGGAGAACCCCACTCCCAAGCTCCCCGCGCTTGCGGCTTCTGGGAACCAAGAAAGCCCAAGCTCAGCACACAGAGACAATCGAAAGCTTAAAAACAACAAAACCCTAAAACCCTAAAGCCCTAAACACTTTTGAACTCTAGCCCCAGCCTTCGACAAGCTTCTTTACAGTGCCGGTCTGGCGAAGGCTTGCAGCGCCAAACCTTGCAGCCGGACGGCTCAGGCCTACGAATTCCCCTTAGAGCTTAGGGTTTGGAGCTTCGGGCTCACGGACGAAGAGCTTGGCATAGACTCCCCGAAGCAGAAATTTCACCGATTCACTGATTCGTGGTCGAATCTTGTGTTGACCTACTACAATCCCGACTTGCATGCACAGGATTGCCGCTAGTCCGGCTAGTTGCAGGTCTGACAAACAGAGAAAAAACAAAGACTCAGTACCTCAAAGATCCTTGAACAGCAGGATTCAGCGGATTCAGCGCATCGGGTTTAGCGGTCATGGTATGACTAAAAGGAAATTGACTTACCAGAACTTCCCATGGCAGACCAAAGATTAAACTGAAACAAGATACACACATACTCACTACGGTATGGATACAGTATTCTTGAATGTATTTATACACTCGCGAGTCTACAAACGCGAGATGCACATGCAGCCTTTTCGTTGTTGGTCGAGAAGCCTGAACAACTGGTAGTAGTATTTGTTGTGGGTCCTTACTATCCTCGTATGAAAAGATACCTACCCCAAAATCCTGCCCCGACCATCAAGGCCCCCTATATCTTCTTCGCGAAGTAAGGATCCGACCAGGGTGCGGTGTAGGCCATGGGGATTGCACCTGACGGAACACCAGGCTCAGAGGTAAGGTACCAAAACACAAACTGAACAAAAAGGAGCTTCAAAATGGAGCCTAGCCCACAGCCTTTTCTGCACAAATCAGGCGGCTTCGGGTTTAAGGGTTTAGGGTTTAGGGTTGAGGATGATCCAACAGCCACGCAGTCGAACTGAGAAACGCGCCCGGATCGTAGGCCGCGTGCACGGGCACCTGACGAAATCGCTTAGAAAAGCAGACCCCCAGGCTGAAGCTCAAAGATGCTCAAATAGATCCTTCGCTTAGTGTTTTTTTTTTGGGGGGGGCCTTTTTCCGTCTGCTTAATCCTAGCTCAGGAGCTTCGGATCGGAGGGTAATATAGGGGCCTCAATGTTAGAATAGGGGGCTGTGGGCATGGTGTCGTCGAAATATGAAAAGAGGAACCTTCAGGAAAAGTCTTGGTAATTATTTTTTGCATTCCAAAGGAGGCTGATGGCCACAGACTCAGAGGGAAGTCAGGCCGCCGCATCCAGAATAATGAAGGCAGGTTCTCGTGGTGAGGGTGTCCAGGGAGTGATTGGAAGTCAAGGATTTGAAGCAGGAGTCTTCAAAGCCCTACCCTAGACCCTAAACGCTAAACCCTAAACCCTAAAGCCCTAAACACTGAAGCCCTAAAGCCTTAAACATTATTGAATGCGTCTAGACCCCATAAGTTCCCCAGAGCAGGCGAAGCCAAAGAGCTGCAACCAAAACAGGCGTTTTGGGGTTTAGCGCTCTTGAGGGTTTTGGGATTTTAGGGTTTAGGGTTTAGGGGTTTAGGGTTTTAGGGCGTGCCAGGCTCTAGGGATGTGATACATCACGTCGAATCGCTTGAACATGGCCTGGGAGTACATTCTGCTAGAATGAAATTATCATAAGACCTTTCATAGGAACCCCATGGAATAGTGTTAGTAATTACCATGCTATGGTGTTGATAGGAACCCCAAGGAATGGCATTCTAGCAGTTTCTCCGGTTTCTACATGACCCTACACCCTAAAACCTTGACCTTCCTGTGAACCCTAAACCCTACACCCCTTTACTGAACCCTAAACCCTAAAC